CACAGTAAAGCTGGTGGATGATCCCACCTGCATGGTCCATTCCATCCCCTGTTTCTTTCCAGAGCCAGGAGCCAGTGCCTCTTCATTCTTCATCCAGGCCCCCACCCCAACTCTCTGCCTTCTGCTCAGGTCCAGCTCAGCCAGGAGGTCCTCCACCACCCCCACCCCAAGCTGCCTTTGTCTGCCCTGACTCCCCGGCCCAGGGGACTCTGGCATGTTTATTCTAGTCTATTTCCAACCACACTGCTCCAGGCTCCAGATGTGCTGTCCCCAACTGGGATCTACCCGCCAGATAATTAGCATATTCCCAGGGCCCAACCCATCCTGGGAGGGTGAGGACTGCATCAGAGAGGGAGACTGTCCCTTGGGAACCCCACAGTTTGACTCCTGCCTGGAGAGGGATTGGAAACCATAGGGATCTCTTGTCCAGGGGAGCCACTCAGCACCCTTGCCCCTCTTCCCCCTGCTGCTCCCCATCCCTGTGACCAGCACTGCCACAGGCCTGGAACGGCCTTTTCACCTCTGCTCCCTTTGTGCAAGAGGGGGCAGCTGCGCTTTCCCAACAGCCTATCAGTGCTGTATCTCCTGGCACCCTTCCAGGTTACAGGCCAAGAAGGAAGTCAAGCTGAACTGATGCCTGGGGTAGTTTACCCTCAGCCCTGGCTACAAAATTCAGGTTTTTCCCTAATTTGGGGCCTGTCTGAGGTGGGAAGGAGTGGGTAGCATCCTTGATGTTCTCCTGGCTGCTGGGTAGCTCATGAGAGATCAGAGCTATCATGTATGACCCTCGGGTTATGAAGGCCGGTGCCCTTCCACCAGGCCCAAGCATTTTTTCCTTGCTCTAGCTGGGATACAATATCTGTAACATGAATTTACTCTATTTAATGATGTCTCGGTGTATAGCTCAGGAACGTGGGGCATGATTCATCCATCACCACCACCCTTCATCCAAATGAAGTTTTGTAGCCTTGAAACAGGAACTCTTACCCCACCCCTCCAAGCCCCGAACACAGCTGACTGCATCCTGTTTTCTGTCTGCATTTGGCCTCTCTAGCAACCTCGTGTCAGTAACCTGGGTGCTATTCCCAGGGCCTAGGTCTCCCTGATCCACAAGGGCTGTATTGCATGGTGTATGTCATCTGCTTTGGAGCCCAAGTGACACTCTCTTGGTATGGAGGGGGCCGCGCCTTGCTCACATCTGTTCATCCACCAATAGACATTTGGTTGTCTCTGCCTTAGCCCTTCTTACTTTTATAGGAAACCCGGAGCCTCATCTCCAAAGAGGGAGGTTTCACAGTCTCCCTCCCTCATTCCTCCCAGATGTCCTAGGAGAGCAGGACCCCATACTCCGCCGGTCACTGTGAGCTGTGTACAGCTGAGCCACCCCTGCCAAAGGAACACTCCCTGGCTCCTCGACTCCCTTCAGCCTGTCAGTTTTTCAGCTGTGGGTCGTGTGGGATGCAGGGATCCTTACGATGCTGGCCTGCGCTTAAGTCAGGAGTCCAGTTGTTTGACCTCTTGGAGCTTCTGACTCTGTTCAGCCTGGGTTGCGGGGAGAGGGCTGTTCTTCCCACTACTGGGAAGGCTGGGCAGAGCCGTGGCCCACCCATCCAGACTTTGACTAGCCTTCCTTCCATCCTGGGTGCTGAGCACCTGCTGGATGGCAGGACGGCCCTTACCACCCGGTTCTGTAGGGCAGCCAGCATCAAAGAGGCTTTGAGGCCAGACCAGTTTTGGGGACGGGGAATCTCATGTCTGACTGTCCTCATTAGTTAAGAGCAGAGGGTGATTCCCTGCACTCTCTGAGCCTTGGTTTGCCCTGTCATATGGGTTCTCCTGAAGGCTGGAGAGAAACAGGCTCCTGCAGGGGTTCTGGGTTTCCATTGATAAGCATCCCTTCACTCCCCAAGTCCATCACCTCCATGTGCCCCTGACTAGCTGAGCTGTAGCTGTTTTCCAAAGCTGAGGGAGTCAGGCTCGGCTTTGATGAATGAACCTCGGGGTGGATGGGCAGGGAGGTGCGGATTGGGACCCCCTCCAGAGCCTATGGCAAAGCAGCCCTGGGGTCTCCCCAACTTTGAAGCAGCTCTCGGCCTGGCCTGGTCAGGCCCAGAGCAAGTGAGGAACCCGGCAACAAGGTGCCTTTGTCAGCAGCTAGGGAGTGGCGTCTGGTTTCAATTACTCTGCAGTGCGTGAGCAAGCACAGAGTGAGTGTAGGTCAGGGGCCTGCTAGGGCAGGAGCCAGGGGCTCCCACCCCTGTGCCTTCCTCCTGGTCCCCAAGGGGGGGAGAGTCTGTTGTCCCCATTTAACTTTGTCTGAGGGTTGCACGGGGCCAACTTTATTGTCCTGGGAGCGTCACCCTGGTCCTGTTGGCCTGGGTGACCTAGAGTCCCTTCCAGCTCTGGCTGATTTGGTTTGTCACAGGTGGGGCCAGGAGGTGCTTGGGGCCCTGCCCAGGTGTGCAACAAAGCCCATTCATACAGCACACTGACACCTTCATCTTCTCCCATTCATCTTTCAGAGCCCTGTTGCAGGGTTGCGCTGACCACAGCCAGGTCCTTGGCCATTCAGTCAGAGGTCAAAGAGGGGATGGGCTTTTCCCTTTCACTACCATGGTCCCCAAGCCCCATCTGACACACCCGGTAGCCCCAGGCAGCGTCCTGCCCCAGGAATTTGGCAGTCCAGCCCCTGCCCGCCCCAGCATGGGTTGGAGACAGATATCCAGGGCCAGTGCCTGCTGGTGGAGTTGACGGTGTGTATATCCTGCTGCCTATATCTGGTTGTACCAGACTGTGCCCTGTGCTGCCACCACCATGCTGGTCTGAGAGACACAGGACCCAGTTGTGTTCCTTGTGTAGGACACTACGTCTTGCCCAGGTCCTGGTGACTAGAGCCATTGTGCTGCCCAGACCCCTCTGACCTCAGTTGCTATAGTCCAGCACTCCTGCTGCCACTCTTCCAGGCAAGTGTGGATGCCTCTGGTGCTTGGAGAGCAGACAGCAGAGCAGCAGACCTCTTATCCCCGGTGGACAAAGGCCCAGGGCTGGATCCCAGCAGAGTACCTGCCCTGCTGTCCAGATGCCCGGCGCAGACTCCTACCCCACCACCCCCATCTCTATGTGTGCCTGGACTCTGGCCAGTGTGTCGTAGAGACAGGAAGCAGGTGGAGGCCTGAGTGCTTTGCCACTCTCCTGGCGTGCAGTACCACCTCAGCAGGCTTGGCAGCCCCTCTCCCAGGCCCACCTCTGAGCTGACCCAGAAAGGACCAGCCACCGGGCCCTCATCGCCAGCCTCTCCCCACACTTAAAGAAGGGACGCTGTCCTCTCGGCTCCAGACTGATCACCCCCACCACCTCCATTCCAGCTCAGGCAGAAGACCCAGGTGTGATTCCAGCTGGCTAGGCACAGGCCACCTCCTGGGTACATCCTGCCAAGCCTGTGGGCATTCCAGGAGCCTATGCAAGTGCAAGCAGCACGCATTGCTGGGCTCAGTAAGTGGCTCATCGCCCTGCAAGAGTTCTTTCATCCTCCCAATGGGGCCTCACTCTGAAAGTTAAGAAAAGGACTTAACGAAGAACAGCCAGGGAGCTCCCAGCATTAGGGCCACAGTGAGTACCAGTAAGTGGTGTGTTGCCTAGAGTGAACTCTGCTGAATTCCTTTCAAGCCTGTAACAGTTGACAAAACCCATGGCCAACCTCACCTCCACCGAGGCTCCTCAGAGTACAGCAGTGATGGTACTGGGTTGGGGACTAACCCAGGCTCAGCCTCTCACTCGTGGGCTAGACTAGGAAGGCTGGCTACAGCCTCCTGTTAGCTCCACCACACTGGCTTTGGAGCGCACCCCAGCATCACTCGAGAACTAGGATGACCCACAAGGCAGCCCCAGGCTAAGACCAAGCTGTGGGCACAGAACGTGGGACCCAGGAGTTTCGTGAAAACATGTTTAGCCCTCACCCAAAGGGAAAGCAGGTCAAAGGCCGGCGTCAGGAGAAGCAGCAGCTCTCATGAGAACTGGTCGATCTGCCCCCATCTGTGCACAGGACAGAAGGTCGAGCCATAGAAAGGAGACTTGAGGCTGGGCCTGGAAGGACTTGGAGAGCTTCTCCCCAACCAAACCAAAACCAAGCCCCAGAAAGGCAGGAGGCAGCGGATAAGGGAGGTTCCTCGTCCCCACCTCAGCTAGGGCTTCTGCCCTCGGCTTTTTTTTGGTAAGATTTATTATTTACTTTTGCTGGAAAGTCAAATTTATTGTTTTTTATTTTTTTTAAGATTTTTATTTTTATCACAAAATCAAATAGACAAAGAGGAAGATCTTTTGTCCGATGATTCACTCCCTAAGTGAACGCGACGGCTGGTGCTGCGCCAGTCTGAATCCAGGAGCCAGGAACTTTCTCCAGGTCTCCCACATGGGTATAGGGTCCCAAGGCTTTGGGCCATCCTCGACCGCTTTCCCAGGGCACAAGCAGGGAGCTGGAAGAGGGAAGTGGAGTAACCGGGATATGAACCGGCATCCATGTGGGATCCCGGATGTGTAAAGCGAGGACTTTAGCTGCTAGGCTTCTATGCCAGGCCCTGCCCTCTGCTTTTATCCCAAAGGCAGGAAGACTTCAGCATTTCATTGGCAAAAAATGGGAGGGACAGTTTTCAGCACAATGATAGTAATCATTTATTTTAAGATCACCAGGTTGGGGGCCCAGCGCAGTGGCGCAGTGGTTGAGGTCCTCGCCTTGCACGCCCGGGATCCCGTATGGGCGCTGGTTCTAATCCAGGCAGCCCCGCTTCCCATCCAGCTCCCTGCCTGTGGTCTGGGAAAGCAGTCGAGGACGGCCTAAAGCTTTGGGACCCTGCACCCACGTGGGAGACCCGGAAGAAGCTCCTGGCTTCGGATCGGCATAGTATCAGCCATTGCGGCTCACTTGGGGAGTGAATCATCGGACAGAAGATCTTCCTCTCTGTCTCTCCTCTCTGTATATCTGCCTTTCCAATAAAATAATAATAATAATAATAAAAATAAATCTTTAAAAAAAAAAGACCACCAGGTTGGTCCCTGCTGCCAGTCTGACAGCTGTGGAAATGGAGTCCAGAGTAAGAAAGTGGCTGCCAGGCGCCTGGCGTCCCTGGGCTTTCCTTCATGTAAGCTCAGAGTCGGGTGGGAGAGCTCAGGGGCCTCAGGGGCCTCCAGCCCTGCTCCCACCAGCCCTCATTTCTTTAGCATAATGCCTAGAGGTCCCGTGGGCCCAGAGCAAGGCCCTGTCCCCTGCCCCTGGCTGGGCTGGGGTTCCCCTGGGCATACCACTGGCTATGACCAGTGTCCCAGGTTGAGGAGGAGGTGACATGAAGGACAGGGCTTGCTCTGCCCACTCCATCCCTGGGTGGGTTTTGTTCTGGACACACCGGATGTTCCCAAAGGCTTAAGTGAATTTTCCTCTGTACCGTGAGAATCACTCAGGCTTGCCAGGGACGTGTTGTACTGCTGGGCAGTTGGGCAGCAGCCCTGCTCTTGAGCTGTTTGAGCCTCTCCCATCCACCCAGAGCCAGCAGGCAGAGTGAAGAGTGTGGCTGGTAAGAGGAACAAGTGTTCAGCCTGGCCGTGACCCAGCCCAGGCCTGGGGTTGGGGGGAGGGCAGGTGACCTCAGGCAGCCTCGTCTCTGGAGCAGTTAGCTCCGCCCCTCACCAAGCCCCCAGCACATCTCAGACCCAGGATGTACCTGCCCCACCCCAGACACCTGCGTAACCACTGATAGCTGCTTATGGGACATGGAGCTGAGTTTGAGAAGGTCAGACTATGCACAGGTGGCAGCAGGCAGAACCCCAAGCCCCAAATGCTGTCACATAACTCAGCTGCGTGGAGGGGTGGGGCTGGTTGTGTGTGCACAGGGGAGTAGGGGATGTAGGAGGGGGAGGCGAGTATGGGCCACAGCTTTGTTTTCAGACGTGAGCTCTCTTCAGCAGCCTCCCTGCCTGGCACTTAGTGGCTGTTCCCTCTGTGGTGAGTGGGCGAATGAATGAGTACATGAGTGGCCATGTGGCTGCCAGGCTCTGTGCTGCCGTTGGCTGCTTGGCGACATGGAGCAAGCTGTTTGCTCCCCCATGTGGACCCGATGCAGACCCTGGACATGGGCAGTGGAAATTCAGGCTGTCCAGCGGGCAGATAAGTTTCTCAAGACCCCTGCCCTTCTAGTCAGTAGGTTTGGGTTAAGAGTGGCTGTACAAGAAGGTGAGAGTACATGGCAGGAATGCAGGGACACTGCCAGCCCCTTGGTCCCAGGCTGGCTGGCACTGTTCTGCTCCATTCTCTTTCATCCTGACCTTGGGCAGGAACCCATCCTGGGACTGCTTTCTGCCTCTGCACCTTCCAAGTGTGTCCTGTGCTCTTCTGGGGCTGACAGGTGGCCTCAGTGGAGCCCGACCTCATCCATCCCTCCCAGGCCCCTCACTGCCGGGCATGGGGGACTGTCCCCTCCCTGCTGGGGGGGGGGGGGCGGGCTATGACTTTGGTCTAGCTGGCTGCTCGGAATACCGTGTCCTGTGAGCTGGAGGGCAGGGGCAGGGACGTGGGCTTCTGGGCTTAGCTGCAGGCAGATGAAAGTTGATCCATTGGGGAAGGAGGTCAATCCAGAGAAGTGACAGCACATTGCAAGGTTCTGAGAGCGAGGCTTCCTCCCAGGGTTCGCAGGCCTGGAGGACTGCTGGGAACAGCCTCCCTACAATGCTGCGACGGGCCCTGCCTTGCTTGCCCACATTTCACAGACTTCACGTCGCTCCCTGGTGACCTTCCCTGCCTCATCCCATGGGCTGCTAAGCACATTAACTTGGTTTTACCTCCCTCACAGCTGTGTTGGTGGCAGGTCCCCACCACAGACAGAAGCCAGGACCCACACTTCCCCTAGGGACAGCCCCACTTGTTCCTCTGGCCCAGAGCTGGGGGAGGGGTTGGGCCAAGCTGGGACAATCCATGGGGAATGTTTTTAATTCCAAAGGCAGTGACATCTGGGGTGGAGGGGGCGGGCCTCGGTGCCTGGCTCTGTTTATCCAGACGGGAGACTCTTGTCCTGGCAGGATGGTGTGGCTGGGTGTCAAGGGAGAGGTGCCATCACTTCCCTGGGTGCCCAAGGTAGCTAAGCTTTGCCCATCCAGCAGACACGAAGCAGAAGCTCAGTGGGCTGCAGGGACTAGGATTCACACTGCCCCTATTGAAAGCGTAGTGGGGACATCTGTCCTACACGAATCCTCCTCCACCCTGTTCCCAGGCCACCCATTTCAGGAAGGAAGGCGTGGGGAAGAGGAGGCAAATCTGCCGTCTGCGAAGGAAGGTCCCGGCCGTGGGGAGGAAGGGGAGATGAGCACCTCCAGGCATGCCTCCAACTCCCCATCTGCTAAGGCGTTTATGTCACCATGGAGACCAGTCGGCCATTGTGTATCCAATCAGAGCTCGCCTCACCCAGACAAGTGTGGAGCCTTGGGTTCCTGAGGCAGACAAGCAGCGGGGCACTGGGAACAGGATTTATACCCTCCGCCTAGACACATACACCCAACAGAGGGAGGGCACCCTGTTCCCCCGAGACTGCACCCTGTGGACTCGGCAGGAGGGCCCAGAGCCTTGATCAGCTGGCAAGAAGCCGGTTCCGAAAGTAACCAGCCCATGCCAAGTGCAAGCTGTGTATCCGCAGTGCGTGGACATGGTGAGCAGTTAGAATGGCTCCTCACCAGCCAATTACACAATCAACGAGTATACATTGACTGGGGACAGACAGAGGAATGCTGGGACCTAGCTGGGCTGGATAGCGTTTTCCCTGTGGCGCCGAAGGCCCTGCCTCCTCCAGGAAGCCTTCCCTGATTACCTCTGGTGAAACATGTCTTCAAGCTGCTCTCAAGTCATGGCATTTCATCCATGCTGTCCTTAGGGCCTAAAATTGAGGTTCTTCGGGGTGAGGAAGATGCCATGTATGCCTGGATAAGATGCATAGATGCACGATTGGTCTTTGGCCAGTGCAAGGATGCCTCTCTACCTCCCGTGGAAGACTGAGTCCACCTCGTGTCTCTGGCAGCTCTGTCAGGTCCTGGCTTTGGATTTGTCGCTGACTCCTTAGCCCCGGCCCAGTGCTGGCACAACCAGGCCCTCCTGTCACTGCCTCTTGAATGAAACCAATGGGATAAAGACACAGAGCTGGAAAACTGGGCCAAGACTTTTCTGGAGCTTTGTGACAGCCATGGTGAGTGAGCTGCACAATCCCTCAAGAAGAGTTGGCACTCAGGTACCTGGGAGAAGCAGGTGATGGACAGGTCAGGAGGGGGACACAAGTGTGTCCTTACCTCTCTCCTTCCCTCCCGGGGCACTGGCTCTGCTCCAGTCTCTCGGCCATCTTTACCCATGGTGGCTTTGGGCAGCTCTGTACAACGGGGGTCATGATGCCTAGGGGAGAGATAGTGCTGCCCTGCATGGATGCCTGTTGCCCAGACCCTGGTTCTGGCCCACTGAGTCCCAGGTAGTCCCCAGAGTAGGAGAGTTCCACTTCCGCTGGGCAGAAAGCAAGACAGGACCAGACCCACCGCTCTGGGTCCTTGACGGGCAGGGACCTCCAACCGTGGTCCCGGCCACCCTGGCTTTGGGCCACGCAACTCCAGGGCTTCTTGATGCTCACAGGGAAGCTGTGCCATTCTCAGATCCAACCAGGGGCTCAGATGCAAAACCCAGAATACTCTGACTCTGCAACAGCCCCGCAGGCACACTCCAGATGCTGAGGGCTGGTCTCTGCCCCAGCCAGCTTTTCCTCTTCTGACTGAATCCCAAGACCACCCCCCGCTCACCTCAGTGCACCTCAATGGTGAGGGGACCTGTTGCCCCTGGCTGCAGCCGCATGCCCCTGCTGGCCAGCTTCCTCCTCCCAGAGCCCCAGCTCTGCTACCTGTGCTGTGCAGGGCTCTGCAGCGCTCCATGCCTCTGGATCACGAATGCCCTAGGCAGCCAGGGGTCAGCTCTTCCCTAAACATTATTGCTGAGAAATGGCTCACTCTCACTCCTGGGTTAGGATAGTCACTGACTTTGGGGAGTCATGTCAAGACAGGTCACTGTCTTGTGTCCCAAGGTGCCCAGTGCTGACCAAGGGCATCCTGTCTCGGTGAGATGTACAGGGCATGGGTAAAAGCAGCCGTGTGAAGAGAGTATCCTACTGGATGCCCAGAAGCTGTGGTCCCTGGCATGTGCTTCTGTCTTAGGACACCCCAGATGGCCTGATCCCCCTCTCCCCACCCCCCAAGTGGGGAGGTGTGAGTGCCTGTACACAAGTGTCCTGTCACCAGATTGGCTACCAGGGGGGCGCCTTGGCCAGAAGGCAACCTCCAGGACCCCCTTTGCTATGGTGGCCAGACTGGCCACTGAAGGTCCCCTGTGGCCTGGCCCAAGCCTGCTTTGCTACAAGCCTCCAGGAAACAGTGTGGCAGTGAAGGAGTTAATCAGGATCTAGCATGGAAGGGACTGGCTTGTGTTTGTCAGCTGCTTGTCAAACTTTATTGAGTAAGGAACTGGAGGGAGGGCAGTGGGGTCGGGTCGTTGGTGGAGGAGTGCCTGCTCAGAGCCCCAGGGGGCTGGGGGTTTTTGGAGGGGCCTCTCCAGTGCATCCCTTGAGTCACTTCCTCCGTGGGGGCGGGGCTCTCCCTTGCTGCCTGCCTCCGGTGGCTGGTGCTCGCATTGGTGTCCCGAGAGCCTGCCTGGGACCTGCAGGGGGAACCGAGGCGGCACAGCTAGGCTCCTGGCTCCTAACACAGCAGTGCACTCAGGCACAGCCAGTGGTAGGCTTGGGGAGAGAGGGAGGGACTCAGAAGGGAGGAGGTACCCGCGAGGCTCTGAGCCCAGAAAGCTCCCTCTGGCTCCCAGAGCTGCCCAAGCCCGCTGGGAGCGGCCCCGTAACCGCGGGCCGCCGGCATGACGGACGTCCTGCCTCAACCCGACTGCAGCCTACAAGCAGTGTGCGAGCCCCTGGAGCGCTGCTGCCTGGATCCGCTGGACCAGTCGGCGAGCAAGCGGCCGCTCAACACCGGCGCCAGGCTCTGGGGTCGGGTGCGCAGCAGGCTGCTCCGTCACAAGGTGCCCGTGGGAGACTTGGAGGGGGCAGGGAGGGGGTTGGATAGGCCCCTCTGAACTTCAGAACTTCCCTGGGATCTGGAGACAGCAGTTGGGGTGTGGGCTGGGGTCTTTTGTAAGTGGCTTTAACTTGGGAATGCTGGCAGCAGCTCTCCTTGTGAAACCTGGATGCCTGTTCTTCATCAGTTCCCCACTCGGGAGGGAGGTTCTCCCTGCTGCAGCAGCAAGAATGTGAGCCCACCAGGCACAGGACCCCTGGGTCTCTGCGTTTTTTACCATGCCCTGCCACCCTGCATCCAGGGAGCACCGCCCACCAGGCAGGGTTCTTTGTGTGCCTGGCAGGGATCAAGCCCCCGCCACCAATCTCTGATGGGGGAAGCTGGGGTGCTGGGGCTGGGGGCTGCCTCTTCAGGGACCACCCAGATGACTGCTGGCACTGGGCCAGCTGGACCCCAGGCAATTCAATCGGTGGGGGGATGGGGACTCCTAACCCAGCAGGCAGTTCAGAGTGGACTGTGCCAGGGCAGACTACTGATGCTGCCTGCAGCCCCAACCCCCGGGTTGGGCTTAAAGTCCGAGAGGGGAGCTGACCATCCTGCAGCTGGACAGGCTGCCTTGGGGCTGGCCTTGGACATCTGAGGAACAGCCCTGCCCAGTACTGAGGTACGCAGTAGCTTCTTGATAGCTCTACAGACCAGTTCCACTGCTGAAGATGAATGTCACAGGGGGCCAGTCCTGGCTGCCCAGGGCTAAACCCTTCCTTAAAGGTAGTGACCCGGGAGGCCTTGGCTGCGCTGTGACGGGGTTGTGCTGGGCCTCCCGTAGCTCACAGGAGGACCCTGTGTGTGAGCTCTCTCCCTGCCAGCCTGCAGTTTCCTGGAACCTGCTGAGAGGCAGCGATCCTGGGCCTGCTGGCTCCTGGTTTTGTTTTATCTGCCAATAGGGCACACTTAACTTCCCAGGAGTGACATCAGTCCTAGAAAGTGCTGGGCAGGGAGCAACTTGAGCTTCCCCCGCACTGGCCCCCGTGTCACCTTGAGCTTCCCTGGGGGCCCAGTAGCAGAGCCCCTCAGTGCTGAGGCAGCTGTCTGCTGGGCAGTGAGGAGCTAGCTGTCCCTGTGCCCCCGCCCCCTCTGCTGAGGCCAGCAGACAGGCCTGAGCTCACTGTCCTGTTCCCAAAAACCTCAAAGTGAGCAAGAAACTGACCTAGCAGGTTCTTGCCTGGAGCTAGCCAAACAGAGCCCTTTTGGCGACCTACCTGTCCCTTTGCGGAGGTACCTGGCAGGTGCTGCAAGCAAGGGGCAGATTTTAAGCCTCCAGTGTTCCATATCTGGAGGTTCCTCTTCCCTCTGTGTGCTTGTGGCTGGCAGAGCCAAGAGGCTACCTGAGGAACTTCTTGGCTGGGCTTGCCCCTGCTCCTGTCTGCAAGCTGCAGGTCCCGTGGCCACCTTGAGTAGGATTGGTGGACCAGAGCACGGCTGACAGGGGGCTGCCAAGCACCACAGTGGTACGATGGCGCAGTTCTGGCAATAGGCTGCAGTGGGTGGCAGGTGGTCCGTTACCCTCACTCGTGCTGTGAGACCAAGTATGTCAGTGTCACGGACCGTGTGGATGAAGGGGCTGTCCACCCTGCAGTGCCTGCCTGGCTGTGCGCTGCCTGGCAGGTGCATAGATAGGGCTGGGGCTGGCTCTGTCCTTCCTTCTTTCCCCAGCTGCATTAACCTATTTTTTTTTTTTTTTTCATTTCTGTGCCACAGGCTCACTGCCAGGCCCGGTTGATTGGGGTGTGTGGGATGCCTCCAGTCTGGCAGGAAGACCAGCTGCCAGATCTCACTAACTGTGCTGTGATGTGGTGACCCCCCAGTTAGTGAAAGATTCCTGAAAGTCTTGTGGGGAGATGTGGGTCAGTCGCACCCCTCTTCAACCCCTCATGCTGGGGCTGTTTCTGCTGATAGAAAGGTCCCAGTGTCACAGCTCGGCCTTGACACCAGTGTGTGGCCTGTAGTCCCCAGAGCCTGCAGTTACTGGGGAGGTGGCAGGGGCCATTCAGGCTCTCATGGGCTGTTCTCATCCCCGAGAAGAATGGAGGGGCTGAAGCCTTGTTCTGTCCCTGGCTTGACAGCCGGTTGTGCAAGCACTTAGCCGAGGAGCCACGTGGCATGAGGTTTGTGGGCTCTGCCAGTGCACTCAGTATTTAACTTTGCCTTTTTGCTTTTCTTTTTTTTTTTTCTTTTGGCCTCAATTCACACTCCAGTCAACCAGGCTCCATGCCTCATGCTCCCTCTCATCCTGCCTGCTTTTGGATCCTTAGGTTGGGCTGGAGGAGGAGGCATCCCATCCCTGAGCCTCAAGGCATCCAAATCCCCAGCGGAGTCATGTGTGGCATCAAGGGCAGGCTAAGTGTGCCCAGAGAGAGACCAGGCCTAAGTGGAAGAGGAGACTGAGGCTATAGGCAGTGTCCTGGGGGTAGAGGGAAACCAACGGCCTCAGAGAAGCCTTGGGCCACTAGTCAGCCCCAGGGGTGAGTCTGCTCTCTGACTGGTAGACTTGGCCTCCCCTGTCTGCATGGGGGTCCGTGGAGAAAAGACAGATTGGGGCGCTCTTTGGTTGTCGGGGGCGGGGGAAGGTGGAGAGCCTGGAGGCTTGGCCATCTCGGAAGAAGCTTCTTTTCTCAATCACTGCTTCTTTCTGAGCCTTCCCTGAAAGTGTCATTAAACACGACCCTCCCTCTTCACTCCAGCCCAGGATCAGCTCACTCAGCCCTATGCTGGCTATGGAGGGTTCTAATGTGCTTGTAATTGCCATGGCATTGTGTGCTCACAGTTGGGCTCTGGGCATCCAGAAGGATCTGGAGACTTCACGCAATGGAAATCTCTCCTGGCCTTGGCTGTTCACGCCCTGCCCTGCCAGCACCCTCCTCCTCATCACCAGAGGGAAGAAACGTAGCTTGCACTCAGTGCCATTCACACCCACCCACATCCTGGGCCTCTGTGTGGGTCAAGATTGTTCCCAGGCCAACAGGATGGCAACAAGGGAATTGCCTGCATTGGCACAGCCACACAGAGCCCTTGCCCATGCCCCTAGGGCAAGAAGACCTGTCTCCTAAGCCCGTGTCATTATGCCAAGCTGGCATCCAGGAGAGCAGGAATTCTCAGCTCTGAGAGTCTGGTGGAGGTCCTGGGTTCTCCACCCGTGCACAGAGCCACTCCCATGTGTCAGCTCTGTCATGGGCCCATGGGTGGGAACTCCTGCTCCAAAGTCCACTTAGCCCGTGGGGTGTTGCACAGGGCCATGGCCTGCCCCTGCATCTCGGCAATGCTCCAGTTGGCTTGGCTGGTCAGCTGTGCTGGGCGTAGGGCCCCAGTGTTTGGATGGCCCTGGAGCCGAGAAAGCAGAGCCTGCCTGCCTGCCAAGGTAGTTCCTGAAAGGCGTGAGCTCAAGGTCGCAAGAGTCAGAGCCTTGAGATTCCACGCCTAGGAGGAAAGACATTTTGGAAAGAAACTTCTGCAAGTGTCAACTTTATGGGGAGCACTTGAGCTGTTGCTCGAAGTAAGACCCAACCCTGACTGAGTAGCCTTACTGGCTGCTCACACTTTGGGCTCTTTTTTTTTTTTTTTTAAGATTTATTTATTCTTATTGGAAAGAAAGATTCACAAAGAGAAAGAGACAAAGATTTTTCCTTCTGCTGGTTCACTCCCCAAGTAGCTGCAATGGTTGGTGCTGAGCCAGTCCAGAGCCAGGAGCCTCTTCTAGGTCTCACATGCAGGTGCAGGATCCCAAGGCTTTGGGCCATCCTTGACTGCTTTCCCAGGCTACAAGCAGGGAGCTGGATGGGAAATGGAGCACCCGGGATATAAACTGGCACCCATATGGGATCCCAGCATGTACAAGGCGAGAACTTTATCCGCTAGGCTACTGTGTCAGGCCCATGCTTTGGGTTCTTAAGAGGTTCACTGCAGCTTCCTTTCTCCAGGGACAGAAAGAGCATTAGTATTGTGACAGTTCCCTGGGCCTGGTGCCTGCCAACTGAGCTGTGGCTGAGGGCCTGTCAGGCTTCGGTCTTCAGGGTGGGCCCTGGAAAGGTAGGAATTGGCTAGGGGAAGTAGGAAGGGCACCAGGATTCCCACACACTGCTTCAGCTGAGAAAGTGTGGACTTGACTTCAGGGCTGGGAGCTGGTTCTGTCTGTCTCGGGTGGTGACCCCAGCCAGGGCAGGTTCCTCTGATGTACACAGCCAGAGTGGCAGTATCCACTGCACCCCTTCCAGGCAGGGACTTGCCCAAATGCCTTGTCCATGTCCACCCAGGAAGGCCTTCTCTGTGGAACAGCCAGTGGAGGAAGGGTACCAGGAGATAAAAGACTTCCTTTTTGGAATCCTGGGTTGGCTTGTTGAACTTGGCTGTGTGATCTTAGGCTAATCTCTTCACCTTTCTGGTTCTCTGGCATCAGTACAATGAAGGAGCTGAACAGAATGATCTGGAATCCAGTTCATGTGATGAACTTGGCCAAATCTCAAGATTCCTGTTCCTAAGCCTGAAACCCTTAGAAGGCTGGGAGACTCGGGGGCAGAGGTCAGCAGGCTGCCACCAGGCCACAGCCAGCCATTTGCTAAGGAGAGGCAGGAACATGGGATTGCTTGGCCCCTCACTGGCGGCACAGCTGGATGAGGCTGAAGCTAGGTGCTGGGAACCTGACCCCAACCCCTACTCCGGCCATCCCCTGCTGCCTCCCAGGGTGCACAGGAATGGAGCTGGGACTCAAACCCAGGCTGAGGAGATCATTTCAAACCCAGGTGGCAGTGATGAGGATTCAGCCGTAAAAGCTGTACCTGGAGACAAGGTGCAGGGGGCAAAGTGCTGGAGCCTCGGGCAGGTGTGCGTGTGGTGGACAGAGGCTGTGTGGAGACCCAAGGGGCTGACGCTGCATTAAGGGCGGCAGCCAGAGTCTGGGGGATCTCTGTGTGTTGGGAATCGCGGGGTGTTTGGTCATTCTGAGTGCCAGGT